ATACAACAAATGATCTCTTCTTCCCATACCTCATCTCTTATCTATAAACAAATCCTTAAAATCTCATCGTTCAGTCCTAGTCAGCAAAAGTCCATTAAGGATTACCAGAGATAACATACCTATTTTAATCTTAATCAAATACACCAACTTTATATTCCTTCCTTTTAACAATATTGATCTTTAGCCCCTTCAAATAATGTCCTAGAACTTTATTACTTTTCATATTTTTCTTTATCCTTTCTCACAAAATTCTTCAAAACTTTACCAAGTCTCTTTTGTAAATCCAATATAGGAAAGTTACCCATTATTAAGATATCAGACAGTTTCATTTTTATATCCAGTGTTACATCTTTTTCCATATCATTCTTGTGGCCTGTCATTTTTAAATCCACTTTCAGATTAGTCTCAGGCTTATCTGGTAAAGCTTGTTCCTCTTCCATAACATTTTTAAAACACAGTCTGTCTGTAATGGCAGACACTCTTAAAATTAACTTCTGGGATCACTTATCACAAATATCCCCCACTATGTCCAATGTTAAAGTATTTTGCTCCATTCTGTATTAGTAAGTCAAATTTAAATGTTCTTGTCCTTTAATTGTGACCTTTAGTTCCTTCTGATTCCCTCTAGTGCCCAACCTTCAAAGTTCCACCCTAACATTTTTTTTTTTTAACAATCCAAAACAGCAGCATTTTCTCAGAGAAAGATTCTGATAATTAATTTCAAAATCTTATTTCAAATCCATCTGGACCCTTAGTCCATTTGTAACTTTCCAAAATCAACATTCTAATCACCCTTTTGTTGTTTATTCCAAAAAAAGGTTTTTTTTAAGTCCTTAAACTTGTGTTTAAAATTTCTTTCATGAAGGATTGAAGGAGACTCACTCTGCTGTAAAAAAACATGTCAATCCAAAGGTTCCTAATAGCTGAAAAGCAGTTAATAAGCAATTTCCAAAAGTGATTAGAAAAGTATGCGAACCCTGTGTCCATAAAGGCACCAACCGCAGTTTGGGCAAAGGTGGCATTCCTTCATCTCCCAAAGCTCTAAACCTGCTGGAGACTGCTGTCTTGCAGTCTCCTCATGAGCAGCAACTGTCTGGAGCACTTGTGGGTGATCCCAAGTCCTCTCCTTGTCCAGAGAGGAATCCCAAAGAGGCGGGCCACTCACCAGCTCTTCATTCCACTGTGGTCATAAGCTCCGCTCTTGGCGGAACCATTTTCAGTTTGCCATTTCTTCCCCAGAAGTCCAAAATCTTAACACTTTTGTGATCCCCTTAGAATACCCTTGTGAAGAAAGGGTGCTGGGTAGAATGGAAACCATTGGGGCTGATTCATCCCCCAGAGACCTGATGATTTCCTTTCCCTCTTCTTCCTTTTAACTCTCAAAATGTCTTACAGTACAACATCTGTGCTCAACACTTTCTCCCTCCCAGTTTCCTGTATTTCCTATATATGGCCAAGACCCTTTAACATTTTCTTTTTCTGACTTTCCACCTGTATGCGTCTGCGTCAGTATTCTTCTAGTTTCTTTCTTCTTGATTCTTTGTGGTCAAAGTTATGTAACCACAATGTCTATGTAAAGAAAAGGGACAGGGCTTTGTCTGCATAATCACAGCTGCCATCTTATCTTTCTTTGCCAATGCCCCTGCTCCCGTCTGCCTCTCAGTGACTTCCTGTAACTATAGGCACTTCATTTGATTTTTTTTTTTTTTTGAGAGAGAGAGAATAGAAAAAG